TTTTTAGGTTTGTTATATCACCAAATGAACGGCAAACAATATCAGGTTAATAAGTAATTATTTAATACTTATATTTTATAATATACCTATATATTTACATATTTACACTTATATAGTTAAAGTGCATTTCGAAATTCACCAATGTACCTACCATTTCTTAAATTTCGAAGCCTCTTAGGAGTATATTATGGTTTAGGTGTTTGGACACTAAATATAATAATCATTCTATTTTAAATTTCAAATAGTAACCATATAATATATTATTATGTACTAGATAAATAAAAAATATTTAAAAGGCATCAAAAATGACATTTGTTTCAAAATTGAGTTTTTCAAAGTATAACAATAACATTATCAAACATATTATCTTTAAAACAAAACAGTTTCTTTCATTTTTCATTATTAAAAAAAAGTTTTACCTACTCAGAACAGTCAGAACGTCAAAATATGTGTGACACGCGTACAATTAAATCAAATTTTTCTCTCCTGCGGATCAGTAGTCAGTTTATAAAAAAAAATCCTTGGCACCTTATATTACAAAACGTTCGTGATATATATGATATCAATTTGCATTTCATAAATTATTAAATTGATATAATAACCTATAGGCTACAATCCACATTATTTTAACATAATAAGTAATAACTCTATGTACATTATATTGAATGATGAACGAAATATGAATTCTTATCTTATTTTACGTTATGGCTCACCCTGCTGAATCATCTATATTATAATTTAATGTTACCGATACTGTTAAAATAGGCACTAAGCAGTAAGCACACTTAGTTTTTTAACCTTCAGGTGCTTTGTCTATACATTATAAATGTGTAAATCGTAATAAGAGAGAACCTAATCTAACGAGAAAGGTTCATATCAGCTAATTGTCGTTAGATTATTTTATGCATGTGACTAGTATTTATTTTTTTATTTTTTTTAGGATTATAGCTTGAAGTCGTAACATTTCTAATGAAAAATGTATCTTTAAGAATACTTATTGTAAATTTTAATTATGATTAGTGGTGCATAAAAGAAAAGTACCTATAAAATGAATGCAAATAACTAACGATATTTTGAGGTAATTTATTAAAAATAAAATATGAGTAGTATCACATATATATTAATTTGTTTTATCAATTTACATTTATTTGTAAATTTTAATTTTTCTCTCCCACAGTGCAATTTATAAAAATAGACGTGGTACCTTTTAATTTTTATTATAAAACGCCAGATATAAGTATATACTAACAATATTTGTATCCAATAAAATGGATATTATTTTAATTTAAGAGGACCCCACACCCGCATGTATTATTGGCTACGTCTTATACATTATACAAACGTATAACATATTATCAATTTTTAAATTCATAATATTCTATTTTACTCTATTATTCTTTTAAATTAGAGTGAATTGGCCTATAATACGATTTAAAAGTAATATTATTACCGAGGTTCAGTGGCGCCGAACACGAGGGTATCAACTGAGGAAAATTCTCCAGACTATTTGTGGGTGGACCAGACGGATGGATGAGTGGCTGATAATAAGGGATCAGTCATTAGTAGTATTTAATATTTAAAGGCAGTGTATCCTGATAATAATGCACTATTCGAAAGTAGATAACCTTTTTTAAGTAGGTGGGTCTAACACCAACATTCCTTCCCCATAAAATGAAATATAGATTGGCGCCACTGCTAAGATTGATATTTTAATTATGAAGCAAGTTATGAGCATTTTAAAATGCTATATTGCCCTACCTAATAATCTTACTTTTAAATCTTATTATAGGTCAATTCACTCTAGTTTTAAAAATAACAGAGTAAAATGGAGTATTGTTAAAGTATAATTTGCTATTTTGTATACGTTTGTAAGATGGAGACAACACGTGTGTGTGCTGTTATCTTTAATAACTATACACTATAAATGTATTAAAGATAAAATATAACATAGGTACCTATATCTTATTATTCTACTTCAAAAAGTGAATAGATAATTTTTTCCGCCTATAATATATATAAAGTATCATAAATGCAGAGTTTGGACCATATTATAAATTATAATATTTCATATTGTATTGTAATGATTATGATTATAAACATCAGTGAAGAGAGACTTCACCTAAAGTGTTGAAATATATTTACTCTGATATGTTTTTAAATCTATCAATTCTATTTACTGCAGACGAGTTGGCATTTTATGGCAATGCAGAGCTCAGATATAAGACGAAGAAATTATATTTTCGAAAATACAAAAATAAGTAATAATAATAATATACAAAACTAAAAAATATCGACCTCGTTAAGGTCATAGACTCCACTTGGAACAAGAAACTCATCAAGGTCCTCTAGTTTGTTACCCGCGTATTCCGTTTTAATGTATGTGAACAATTTCCTGTTGTTATACATATAATAATTTATATATATAGCCATATAGCTATACTGCTATAGGTATAGATGACTTATACATCTTAAATACACACAAAACCTTAACAATTTACATTGTCATATCATTGAAGATGAATATAGATATAAGATGCGTAATATGGCCAAATATTATTATCATTACTATATTTTAAAATATTATGATAGGTAGCCGTCGGTCATGGTGTATATAATATCCACCAAAAACATGTATGTAAAATGAGAGCCAAGTTCAATACTATAATATATGCCTTGGTTGTTGACTTCAACGACAAAAGAAGTGAGATCTAAATGGGTGCCAAGTTAGGATAATATATTGAAGCCTAAGGTCTGACTTGGCTAGTTTTCATATACGAAGTATTATTAAGTACCTACTAAAACAATAATGGAAGAGTGAAGATGATTTTCCGAAGAATAAATAAGAACTCAAAGCTTTAGAACTTGCGAATGCTATAATATAATTCGTAGCCAAGTCAGACCTTAGGCTTCAATATATTATCCTAACTTGGCACCCATTTAGATCTCACTTCTTTTGTCGTTGAAGTCAACAACCAATTATTATAGTATTGAACTTGGCTCTCATTTTACATGATGTTTTTTGTGGGATATCATTACTTTTTGTATGTAAATTATTATAACCTAACCTAACCTAGCCATGACGTACTCTATAAATAAAGTTCATTACTATATACTATAATTCAGTTACTATCATTAATAATATTTATTATAAAATATTGTCTGTTGTAAACAGAGTATAAAATATATAATTAATATAAAATTATTTTATCTCTTTTTGAGTATATTTTTAACTATCATAATTTTATTTACTATCATTTCTACTGGTGGGTGGGTAATTCATAATCGTTAGATAAATTATTTAATTATTTTAATTGTAATTTTTTTAAAAATTAATATTAATTACATACATAGAAAAAAAGTATGTTGCTGCTCTCGGGTCGCAACATCTACACATATTCAACTGAACGTATTTTTGGAGCGGCGATACGGGAAAGGTTAACGGAGCTATTTAAGTCAACATTACATTAAATTAGAGGCACTTAATTAATTGAAAAATTAAATATAATAGATCAAATAAATTAATAAAAGTATTTAACCTAACTACCTATCTGTATGCCAAATTTGAACTTTCTAGGTCATCTGGAACTGGGTTAGAATTTTGATCTATAGGTATGTCAGTCAGTCAGTCAACGATAAAAATGACGATTTTGGGATGTTAATATCTAAATAACGGTTTGGGGTGTGTCTTTGAAATTTGGATCACATATGCATCTCGCAAGTCTGAATATATGAGCCAAATTTGATATGTTTTTGTGGAATGTATTTTGAGTTATGAGGGGGGGGGAAAGTGGCTCCAAATGGTTCGTGTAATATCACACACGGTGCTGCTCGCCAGTTCTGTTAGCTAGAACTTGGCTTGACACGCAACCGCGTGCCTAGATTAATATATATTATTCAATGTTCAAAACACAGTAATTCAACATTATATTTAGAGTTGAGGAATTGTCGTTAAATAATCGAATCCGAAGCATACACAAATCTCAATATTTAGAAGTTATTTTTAATTTCTATTTAGTGAAACCATAGGCATCAGTGATCATTGAGTAAGCTTACAAATCTACAGCTTACAAATCTACAGCTTACAAATCTTTTTTATCAGTCTTGTAATTTATTACTATATTAGAATTTAGATCCACAATTTACTTAAAATTTGAATTAAGAAAATATTAGTGGAGGGTGACAGAAGCTTAATGCACCCGGTAGAATAAACGCCAGTTCAATCTACCAGTTACGCATTAAATACTTAAATACCCAACCAGGCCATCTATATTGACGGTTCTTGTATGTTAAAATATAATAGATACTTGGAAACGTAGGTACTATGTAATATGTTCTGATATTACAAATATGTATAGTTAAACAATTGTAAAACTAATAATTATTGTAATTTATAATAGTTAAAAATAAATAAAAATTATTAATTTCTTAAAATGACTACTGATTAAAACTATATAATATCTGATACTGAAAAATGTCATATGTATTTTCTGAACTAAACAATCATTTTCATCTATATTTGTTTTTAATTAAAATAAAATGTACGCAATCATTTTTACAATTGCTTTGTACGTAATACATACCCAAATATCTAAGTAATAGAACAAACAGCAAATAAGGGCTGAGTCCGTATATTCTCTAATACTTAAATATAACGATTTTTTTTTATTATTTTTTAGGAGTCATCCAAATATCATACCAAAGGCGGCTGATTCTAGTGATCTAAGCTCATCTAATTGCTAGTCCCGATCGTCGTTTCCTATTTCGATGGGTTGAGACGAACAGTAACGAGTTTCCAGAGCCTGAAAACCTAGCTATAATAGTTGGTTCAAAGGCCGAAGGAGACATAATATATTGGAGATTTTTTGAAGAAGGAAAATTAACTTATTCTAGTCAAATCGCAAGGTTTGAACTTAAGCCAAATTTTGAAAAATAAAATTTGGCAACCTAATTAATTTGTTTAGCCGAAGAAATAGACTTTTCTTTCTACCATAGATACAGAAATGTTGAAAGTAGTAGGAGCATCATGGGCTCAGACGCAACTGTCGTGGTGTTTGATTATTGCAATCACTTTGTTGGGTTTGCTAGCATTTTATTTTGGAGGAACGATCAGGTAAAAATTTGATGTTTAAGTTGTTTAACAACTGTTTCATAACTATCTGACTATTATTGCGTGTTTGTTCAGAAATGAGTATGATGGTAAATATGCGGCAACAGCCTTTTGGAGCAAAGAATTTGGAATGAGAATTGATTTCTGTGGCCAAAATAACGACCCGCTTACAGTTAGAAAAGGAGTTGCAAGAGCTTATTATAGACCAGATTTATCTGAAAACGGGTAACAACAAATTGCATATTTATGATTATAAATAACTCGGTGATATATATATTATAATATATATATATATATATATTTTATATAATTAAATTTAGATGGGCAGTTTTAGAAGTGGAGACTCAGGCAGAATACCCGGACTACGTACAAGCAAAGGCTGCTGGATATTTGGAAGGAAGTTTGACATGGAGGATGATTTATTGGCACTGGAAGAACACAGTGGAAAACACATGTATCGGTAGAAGGAACTTCTGTGAACGAATAAGAAAGTATTTAGAAGAAAATGCTGAAGAAATCAAACGAACGGCGAAACGACGAGGCGAATCAGACCCGTTTTGGCACCAAGTAATTTGAAAATATTTTCAAAACTGTTTCGAAAAAAATATTTTAAAACTGTATTTTTGTCTAGGTTAATATGTTTTACACACAATTGAAAGCATTGGAGGATGGTTGGCGATTTGGTGTAAAAAGAAGCAGACAAGACATTGACATACCATCTGTGGACTTCTTGTAAGTCTATTGTTTTATTTGCATCGTTCGAAACTGAGAGCTTTTCGCCCATAATATCATAACTAGATTTATATTTATAATTGTATAATGTGTGTACAAGTACGACTTGACATTCATATTATTAAATACTCCATACATGTTACTAGTGTTCATATAATATTATTTTAATGAGTTTTATTACTGTATATGAATTCAGCTATAATGCAATTTTTAACTTTACTGTTCGAAATAATTCAATATAGCATACCGATTTATTAAATCACATTGAATTACAGTTTGACATATTAATCCCATTAATACCAAATTTAATATTGTATTAGCAAGACATTGATAGAAAGTGTAATTGCACTTGAAAAATACAATTGATTGTTCTTAGGTGGATGAACATAATGCCGGATTTAAAAAACTTCGAACAAAAATGGAACGCATCAAAAGATTTTAATCCAGATAAGCCGCCATTATCTGCTACATTGGTAAAAATTATCAGCACTAACCCAATTGACTTTGTATTAGCTCAATCTGCATCTGGATAGTAAGTTTAAGTTAATACCTGTCTATGCATTTCAATTATTTGTTAGTCGATTGTTAAAAAGAAAAATAATAATTATAATATTCATGTTTCCAGTTATGGATCAATGTTGCGCATACAGAAACGTTACAATTTTGGTTTCCATGAAACTGAAAGCGAAGATAGTGCGCTCGTTAATGGAAAGATTGTCGAGTTTACTTCGTATCCTGGATCAGTTTATTCTCAAGATGACTTTTATAAAGTCATCAAGAAAGGTTCTAAGACAGAGACTACTGTTGTAGGGACAGAATTACAAAATAAAAATAGACAACTCTGGGAAAAAATTATGAAGACCGATCAAGTATTAAAACATTCACAGTACTTAAGAAAATAAATATACAATGTAGAGTTTTTAAATGAAAATTGTGTTTTAAACAGGTTCTGTTGGGTGCAAGAATCATGGCGGCCAATCGTTTAGCGAGTAACAGTAAGAAATGGTACGAGGTGTTTTCGAGAAACAATAGTGGCACTGGAAACAAACAGTGGCTGATCATCAGCACAAATAGCACATCAATTGCATTTGGAGTCATCGAACAAATGCCCGGCATTGTTAGCTACGAAGAACTTTCCAAAACACTTTTGTCCACCGGTTATTGGGTCAGCAATAGTAATCCGTGTCTCAAGGTCAGTTGTTTAAATATCGCGCAATTAGTTCGTACACTATGGACTATGGTGAATGTATTTTCTAGGTTTCATGCTAGCGCGATCGGTCTAAAATGTACGCTATCCCCTCGACATACACTTCTAAAGAAGATTCAGCATGAGTACGCGCACATTTAGACATCAAGACAAATGTCGACTACCCACAGCCATAAAAAAATACCCAAATATATTGCATCTGCGGGTTAAATATTTCGCCATATTCACTATATGAGACACCGCATATGTAAATAATATATACAGCCATAATATACCTAGGTATAGTTTATACAATTAGGCTAACGTGACGGACTGATTTTCACTTTCTAAAGATCATTTATACACAACAGTCAACAAATCTCACTCAACAATCGATTTAAAAATATTCCGTTTTCTTTACAAAAACATAATATACTGATAATCGATACACAGTACCAGTAGGTAAATGCAAATATATATTTTTTAAAACTATGTAATAACTTGAACAATTTAGCCCATCATCACATTTCTTGTCGTCAACATTTCACTGTTTGTACGTTATTTTAGATCGAAATAAAGGTTAAAAAGTTTCGATACGTCAAACGTCTACTTATAGGATCGACTTCTATCTACCACACACATTTTTCGTGTTGTTTTACTCCTGAGACCCGTTGAAAAACATAAATATGAGGCCTCGCGCCTATATACTTAGTACAATATAGGTACTTGATGTATTTTATAAACGCTTTGCGAGAGAAATGTTTTTTTTTTTTAAAACGTCCCTTGTGCGGTTTGCAGGAAACTGTTTACATGTCGGGCGCTGACGGACGGGACGCTGCTGATCACCCGGTGGCAAACGTACTGCGCAACGGACAGCGGAACGTCACCGACATTGGAACGCTTGTGGACCTGATGCGGGGCACCGAAATGTCGCTGATCGGCCGAACAGACCTGCTGGGTGTCAAGACCAACGCCATGTTCCTCCGGTTCGCCAACCAGTCGTTTGTGGAACAGCTGATCGCGGCCAACCGGCTCCAATCGGCCGACTCCACGGCGCCGCTAAAAGACGACCGGACGACGATCGTCACGAACCGGCTACCGTCGTCCGCGGCTTCCGACGACAAGTTGGACGTGGACAAGTACTTCACGGGAACGGTGGACCTAAAGGTCACTTCGGCGAACATGAACGGTTACTACGCGGCCTCCGGGCCACCGTTCACCATGGACCGCTCCGAGGTCGAACCGTTCCGGTGGTCCGAGAGCCCGATCAGGCACTTGCCGCATTACGGGCACCCGGATGTCTGGGACTACGAAGTGGAGGGCGTCGTTTGGGTTTGGAAATGATGGCACCTATATATAGTACCTACCTATAACGTACAGGCGACTATATACGTAGACGACTTATAATTAGAAATCTATGTCTCACCTACAAAAAATATATTAGACAAACTCGCGTTTTTGTTTTGTCCTGAAAGTCCTACACTCCTACCTAACATAATTACTATATAATATTATGTGATACCTACTACCTACCTACACACTATAGACGATAGTAATAATATACACGCTAGAGATGAATAATTATTGTGATTACGAGTGAAATCAAATGATCACACTCGTACCCCCTTCATAATATAATAGTGTTGCAGTAAAACGAATAACAACTTATTGGCTGTCGCTATTATAGTATTTTATCTCATCGCACGATATTTTATTCGATACTACCTAAATATTATAAACTCGTCTTTCCAAATCACTACAATATTATTACCAATTTTTTTTTTTTTAGTACCTTTATAGACTATTTTCTTTATTTCCTATTTCTCAATAAATTTATATTTTGTATTTTTATTTTAAATATAAGATGCAAATGTTCTTGTTTTGTAACATGCAATGTGATATTGTGATGTAACTTTTAATTAAAGATTATTTTAAATCAAATCTAACAGTGTTAAGTTAATTATTTTTAACCATCTAAATAGTCTGAGAAACATGAATAATCTCATCAGTAAGTAGGTATATTATATTAAGTCGAAACCCGTTAATGACTGTTCTAAAAAACAATATGAGTTGTAAACGACAATGATAGTTAAATATTGATAACATAAATTACAATATAGTTATTACCTACCTAATTATTGTAGCTATATCGATTTAAATCGATTTCATGGTTTAATTATAATAACTTAAAGAACAAAAAAAGTCAATAATTATAGGTATTGTATCTCTTTATTATAAAATGTGAAAATATCAGCAATTAGCAAGAATACAATTTCAATTTTTCTAATAAATGGGAACAACAAAAAAAAAAAATTACGTAAAACAGGAATTTTCTTATAAAATCAGTATTTGAAAATTCAATTTTCTTATTTTGTTGGAATTCAAAAGCGAATAATCGGTTATACAGTATAACTTATACTTAAAAGGATATCAGCGCGCTATTAGTTTTTTCTCTCTGTCCCAAAAGTGCCATGTAGATAAAAGTATACAACGCATTCAAAGAATAATATTTTTTTTGTTTTTCATTCTCTTTTTTTCACGAAAGATTATTGCTTTAACTAATTTATGTAATTGGGATTCTGGCCTGTTTAAAACTTAAAATAATTAAATTAGAGTAAAATCACTTATTACAACATTTTAGAGAATAACAATTTCGAGGGTATTACAAATGTATTTGTCTAAATATTGTCTCAAAACAATTTAATATTCATTTAAATTTACAAAAAATTATTTATTTTTAAAGTCAAATAATAGTAAATTATAAAGCCGATATGATAAATTCTAACCTAATCTAACATCAAAAATAGCGTACCGTCAACAATTTTTGTAATACCTAGCTGATTTTACTCTAGGCCCTAGGGTTACTAAAAAATCATAAAGAAATTACTTTACATGAATGCGTTTTATCCGTGTTTAGCGTCTGAGAAAGAAAACAAATATTGCACTGACATCCTTTTAAAATGTTGACTAAATGTTTATATAAGCACTTTCTATTCTTGGAATACTCAACAAAATATTTTGACTCTTTTTGTGCTATTTACTATAGGAAGTATTTGTAATTTACCACCGCTTATTGGTCTAAAACGTACAAAAAATACGTGTGATCCCCTTAAATTGATTAGCCAAAACGCCAATAAACTCTACCAGCTATATTATACTAGGTGAATGACTTTGCACCTCATCAGTCCACATAGTGTAATAGTCACTGTAATGATGTGTACAATTTAAATTCAATGATAAATAATCTCATACTAAAAACGATTATAAGTTAAAGCTGTCCGTCTGTCTGTTAGCCTATATTTTTAAGAATATTTTGTAAATTTATACATTGATATTAGTAGTTTATTTTTCTATTAGAAATACGGTTAGGTTGAACAAATTTTCAAAATTATTTTTTGTGTACGCTTAATGTTTGTGTTTTATAATGTTAAATTTTAAAGTCTCTATAAGCCATTAATTTTGGAGTTACGACGATTTTTAATTTACCGTTTTTAATGTAATTTTAGAAGTCAAACTATTTTGTTTAAGACAGCAGCTATTAATAAAAAAAAATGGTTGAATACAGAAACTGCACACTTTATTGGTTCATTGTAAAGCAAAATTATAGCACATTATTTTTATACTACGCACCTGATGGCGAATGTATTCCAAAAGTCGAAAACTTTTACCAAGTTTACCAACATGTTTGGTAGAAACACTACATTTTGTTTTAAATTGTGATATTCTTATATTACCTATACCCCGAAAAATTAAAAAAATTACTTATGTTTACAAATAAGATCAAACTGATAATGTAAAATGTAAAAAAAACATAGATTTCTATTTCTAATATAATTATTATAGTAGGTACTTAGCTGCCGGAGATTTCTTTTATATTTTTTTATTTAAATAAATATATAATAAATAATAATTGATATATTTTATTATAAATTGTCGGCTTACAACAACCTTAAACAGTGTGCGGTCTGGTCCTGTATTTTTTATATCTTAAGTGTGAGATTTTTAGATTTAACAGGAGATTAGAATCTCATATGGCGTATGTGTATCTTCACCGATGCCTATACTGACTTTTAAATTATCTAATTAGTAATTACTCATAATACTATATAGGAACTAGGAAGTAAGAATATGTGTTTTTCTTTATTTATTAATCACGGCTTAATTTATATACCTATTCCATCACGAATCACAAGTCTATAACTATGAAAAAAAACTCGTGTGTCTCAAGCGACCCTCAAAAAATGTGAAAACATATATATATATAGGAGCTTAGAAATATAATTTTATTGAAAAGATACCTAACTATATCGTATTGAATGTTTACCATACCGTTTTATTTGTTCACTGTTTTGAGATGTATTTGTAGTTCCTGCTTCTACTGTCTTTTCATTAGATGAATCATAACTTTAATCATGGTCCATGATAAACACAATTAATACACTATTAACTTTATAATAATTTATAGTTTATACACAAAAATCACTATTTAGAAATAAATATTTATAAAACAAAATATTTTTCTCTCGTATTTAACGCAGGATTATAATTATAACCGGATTTGTATGGTTGTAGCTATTTATTCCATGAATATGATTTCATGGAAACGTCACTATTTAAAAAAAATGGAGATACACGGTATATACTTGCACCGGACCATTCAATAGCGGTTTGTGGAGCATGTTCTAGAAATATCAATAAAATTTCATTTGTTGGTTAAAAAAACTTGAAAATTTAATAGAAGGCTCCAAGTATATTGTTTCAAAGGCAGATGAAAAATATTAAAAATCCTTAGTCACAGTTTTTATTTATAAGTATTCTATTCGAAGTTCAAATCTTGACAAAATACGGAAAAATCACGAAAATTAGCAAATTATTTTGAGTTGAGTTTTCAAAAAATTTTTCTTTTTAAATCTAAGATTTGAAAATGTAATACAAGATTCCTCATAAGTTTTTCTACATTTATAAAAAAAAAAATGTCTACAAGCAAATCAAATAAAATTTTTATGAGCGTTTGAAATTCATATTTTTACAATATTGGATATTCACTCGATTTCTCATGTAGTGGTTTTGTTATATTATTTTTATTCAAAAACGAATAACGGTAGATACATGAAAATTTCACTGAATGTTTATATTAGCATTTCCTATGCACCATACAATTTTGAAAATATTTTGACTCTTTTTACGGACATTGCTTCAATTTTTATAGATTTTTTTACCATAAATATCAATAAAATTTTTATTGCTTGGTATAAAAGCGTGAAAATTTAATGTAAGACTCCTGATATTATATTGTTATAAAGTTATTATATAAAGTTGAAGTAGAAGGCATTAAGTATTTAGTAATATCCTGACCGTCTTCGCTCAGAATCGTTTTTCTTATACAATGAATCAGGGCTCGTAAGTTCATGCATCTGCATGTTTTTTTTGCTACACAGGAAAACATGCTAATTGTGATACAAATCCGTTTCATAACAATAGTAATAACAATATGAAGTTTGATAGTGCATGTTTTTGCATGTTTTGGGTGTAAAGTCATATTGGCATATAGTTGATTTTTTACAGTCATTAGTGCATATTATTTCATAAAAATATTTTTTAAACAAATATTTGAAAAGTTTCTTCCGATTTTTGATATCTTGTTCCAATCGTCCAATATCACATGGTAAATTATAACGGTTTTTTAAATTTTTTATTGATTAATTATTTAGCTAATTAATAAAAATATCGAAAATCGGGCTTCTTACGATTGTAAAAAAAGTTCTACTCTACAATTTTTATAATAGGTATTTTTACTGTAAGCTCCTTCAATAAGCCGTATTACTTGAATTACGAAACTATGGTTTTATCCCTATTTTGTCTACTAGTGCGCCCTCTTAAGTTGGAAAACATAAAAAATACACTTATAGAATATATATTACTAAATTATCTCAAAATGAAAAACCTAATATTTAATTCCAAATGTTTTCATTGTTGGTGCTGAATAAGGGTGTACACAAATTAGACAAAAATGACTAGGTACCTAATTAAAATTTATAAAGATGTCAAAGCTATTTGAACTTCACAAGTATTAATTTTATTTTTTATAATATTAATTTTGACTGTTAAATATATAAAAATAAAAAGGAATAAAATACTTTTAAAATGTATGGATTTATTCTTATTATTTTAAAATTTTTTCATGTTTTTTTTACATAATGCATATTTTGAGTTCATAATTTAAAAATGTGAAGGCATATAAATGCATATTTTCGAACTTTTAAGTGCATATTTAATATTTGACAATTTTTAGTGCATGAATGCATGCTTATTTATGCATTTTTTAGTGCATGAAGTTATGAGCC